ACACACACACACACACACACACACACACACACCCCTCTTTCCTTTCCATCCAGACAGACCTGGCCATCTGTTTCTGAAAGGGCACTGCGGTGAGAACCCTGTGGGGTGCAGTTCTGCTCTGCAGCATAGAGCAGCAATCAACAGCAACTTGGTTAATCTGATGATGGTGGTGTTGTATTGCAAAAGGTTTACTCACTTATGTTTACATCGATTTTTATTGTCAGTTAGGTGGGGGTTTACATTTTAAATAATCAACAGTTTAATGTACTTAATTTTTTTGGCAGAGATCTACTGAGTAGGCAGTAAAAGTTGATGCTATAACCTCCACCCCCACCACCACCAACAACACACACACACTTTATTTCTGTTGTTAGGCCAGGTTGTCTGAAGAAACAAATCCAGTGACACTCATCTATGTATAAGACAGGGCTTTATATCTTGCAGTAATTACATAGAAGGAAGGCATCCCAGCCAAGTTCAACTCAAGTTCATAAGTCTAATCGATGTTAGTCCCTAAGTTCCTCTGCATGCTCCCATAGCCACATGCTGGTGGCACCGAATGATGAAGATCATAGGCTGGTGGGTGCAGAGCTGAGTGGATCCAAAGTCAATGGGAACATGGCGGGAAGCTGACAGCTCTCAGGGTTGGGCGGCTCCCATGGGGCCACCCCTTGAGGCAGACAAAGTTCCAGCTGGCAGGAAGGTGGAGGGCAGAGAGAGAGACACGGTTCCCAGAGTCCCCCACGCTCATACAAAAGGCCAACCCCCCTCAAGCAGGTGTCATCAAGTTACCACTTGATTAACATGTCTGACTCCCCCACCAGCCAGAAATGTCTAGTTGACATAAAATATCCACCTGCCGCATTAGTTAAGTAACAGTTCCACACACACATCCAGTTAGCAGTCTTCCAGATCTTGTGGCCCACCACTGCGGTCTTCTGCTGGATCCTCTGTGCTCAAGAGGGAGTTGGAGAAAGAGGGCTCTCTTGAGAGACTTTCCTATGGTTTAAACCTGGAAGTGACACCTGTCACCTCCCACGCTTTGACCAGAACACGTAGTAGTCTCTACCCCTGGTGGCCTCCTGGAGCCAATTGGTCCTTGGCAGTCCCTTGCCTGCCTGCATTAGGTCCTACAGAATGAAGGAGTTGTCTTAATGTCTCCTGTGTTTGGCTTTTCAGACAAACTCCTGTGAGCAAAATCTAAATTTTTGCCTTGAACTCATTGAGCAAGTTGCCAAGCTTCAGGGTCAACTTTTTGGGGTCCTGTCTACAACAGCCCAAGAGGGTAAGAATGGCCTATGCGCCCTGAGCCACCTCTCTTCTCTTCCGCTCCCTCCTCTTCCATCTTCTGTGCCCTGTGTGGCTCAGGTAGTATAGCTGGATTTCTCATGCTGACCTGACTTATGCTTTCTTTTAGGAGGACAGTATGCTGGTGTGGAAATAATCAAATCGCGCCTTTTGCCTTGGCTGGAAGCGACTTTTACTGCTGCTTCCTTGGGAAAGCCTGTTGATGGTGCAGCCCTCTCTCTGCAGGTATGATGCTAACAGATAACCCTTGGCTTTCAGCATCCTCACCCAGCTCTAGGAACTCAAACATACGATATGGTTTCTAACTAGTGACGGACTCAAGTTCAATTGGGGACCTGAGATCTAGATACAAAAAGTGAGTAGCTGTGTAATGTAGCTTAATGGCTTGCGTTTGGTCTGAAGACAGGGCTGCATTGAAACCTCAGGTTTGCCTGCTTACTAGTGGTGTGCCGTTATTGGGTGGAGTCAGGTCGTTTCCAATGCATAGCGACCCTGTGTACAAGAGAACAAAGCACCACTCGGTCCTGTGCTTTCCTCGCATTCCTCTTGGAGGCATTGGTGCAGCCACTGTGACAATTTCTCTTGCCAAAAGTCTTCCACATTTTTGCTGACTTTCTACTTTACCGATCATGTCCTTATCCAGGGATAGGTCTCTCCCGATAGCATGCACCAAGTACCAGACAGGAAGTCTCTCCATCCTTGCTTTTAAGGTAAGGTGACCAGATGTCCTGCTTTGGGTAGGACAGTCCTGATTTTTAACAATTTTTCCCGCGTCCCGTGGCATTTTAAAAAAGTCCCGATTTTTGGAAAGAATGCATGACAAGCTAGGGTATGTGGTTTTCGGCTGCCATGTGGCTATTTCGCTTTACCAACGTTAAAATCTGGTCACCTTATTTTAAGAAGCACTCTGGTTGAATCTTCTAAGGCAGATCTGTTTGCTCTTGTGACCGTCCAGTGTACTTTCAATATTCTTTGCCAGCACCATCATTCGTCAGTTTTTCTTTTGGTCTGATTTCAGGCCAATCAATGAGCCTCTCCATGCTCAACTGTAAAGTGGGCATGAGTGGTGATCTACATCTGGGACTTTGCAGGGTCTACCCTAGACACTAACTAGTAACTGTAAAATGACAAATCAGTCATCCAAACAATGAGGACTTGAGAAAAGGCATGTGGCCGGTTTGTGTCCTTTCATTTTACTCATGCAGTCTGCATCCTAAAGAAAAGCTGTGAATCTGGACGCTGCGAAGAAGAACACGGCAACAGATGGAAGAGAACTCATTCAGAACCCGAGACCTAGACTCAACCTTGCTTGCCTAAAATGAAGGCAACTTGAAGTGCTTACTGATGAAGGCAAAAGACCACAGCCTTCCCGGTGGATTACATTTGGGTGTGGAGAAAAGGAAAATCTTCACAACTGGACTGATTAATAGCATCATATGAAATGGGGAACATTTTGAAGTCAATAGCTTCGTTCTACGTGGATCAAACGATCAAGGCTCATGGAAACAACGGTCAAGAAAACCAAATGGCATATTTCATCAGGGAAATCTGCACTAAACCTCTCTGAAGTTCTAAAAAGCTGTCACTTCGATGACTAAGATGAACTGAATTATGGTCCCGTCAGTCATGCCATGTGCATGTGAGAGCTGGACAAGGAAAAAAAGGATGGAAGGGTTGATGTATTTGAGCTTGGTGTTGGCAGAGAACCTTGAACATATGGACAGGGAGCAAATCTGTCTAGGAGAGAGACAACCCAAACGCTACTTAGAAGGGAGGTTGGTGAGACTCCATCAGGGTTCTCCGGAACATGTCACCGGGAAAGGCCAGTAGCTAGGAAAGGACGTCAGATGTAGTCAATAGAGGGTCAGCGGGAAGGAGGGAAACCCTTCCTGAGATAGGCTGGCAGGACTGACAGAACAAGAGGCTCCAGCACATCAAAGGTCATGAAGATGACACGGGACTGGGCCACGTTTCCTTTTGTTACACACAGTATCGCCAAGAACAGAGAAGACTCAAGGGCAGCTGACACCAACAAGGGCCTCAGGAGAGAAAGAGGTCATCAAATGGGAAAAGCCTGTAATTTGAAAGCGTGAAATGAAAATAATTGGCAACTCCCAAGCTTAAAAGAATACTTAATTCTGGTAGACTGACAAAGGGCGCCATGTTTTGAAGTTGAGATGGGTGGTTTCCCAGGGAGAGCATCAGGGTTGGAACAATTGAAGATGACACTAGGAAAAGAACCCATACTTTGCCAAAGGCCTTGGATTATGATGTCTAGGTGAACAAAACATCAGTGATCTTAGTTTTACCATTGTCATGAAATATACACAGCCATATTCCATGTCAACAGTTCCTGCATGGCTAACTTAGGACCTTGGCTATTTTGGTTAAGTTGGGCCACCATTCTCTTGACCCTTCTCCAAACTGTTCCACCACCATTAACCTAAACTCCTTGACCCCTCAGCTCCTCTACCTTTCAGGTTGGTGTTGCTAATTTGATCTCACGTACACAATTCTCTCAAAGGCAGACTGCTCGCGGCGGATGCATTAGTCAGCTTACTTTGGAACGTTGATAGGAACACTGGGCAGAGTTCCAGTCTCTCCTCTATGGGCTAAACTTTTATGTCACTGTTTCCTCCGATGCTGAATGGGCGCAATCATTTTGCCAATCTAATATGCTCCCTGTGAGAAGTAAATGTGATCAGCATGGGGAACAACTTGTACAAGGGCCAGCACAGTAGGCAACTACTCATGGATATCAGCCACGAGTAATATTTTTTTCCCCAGAATATTTCCATATGCTTCTCAGATTATCTTTCTTCCCCTATGGGTGTTATTCTGGGTAGAGAGATGGGAGATGCAGGTGCACCAAAGCTTTGGGTGTGCGTACTTGAGATATACAGTTTGGAACAGAGGAATCTAGAGGTTGGTGAACTTAGACTAGTGGGTATTATATACCTGTATAACTCACATCCTTATTAAGATAGTCCATTTATTTCCATCATCCCAGATCATTCCCCGGAGCTGCTTTCCCAACCCCGACCTCCCGCCCCAGGGAAACCACTTTTTTTTTAACCACTGGTGACTCATTTGGCAGCACCAACACAAGAGTAAATGGTACTGGGCACGATGTGCCTTTTTGAGGCTGGTTTATTTTGCTCATCTTAATGTTTCTTGGTTGTTGTTGGGTTTTTTTTTGTTTGTTTGCAATTAATTCATGCTGCTTCCAATTATTCAGGCTATTTTTTAAAGCTTGTGTTTTATTCCAGGACACATTCGAAAAGGAGAGAAATTCTGTTTTTCGAGACCAGGACCTACAATTAGAGTCTGAGTTGAGCTCCACCCGTAGTCAACTTAAACAGGTTCAAGACGAGTAAGAGGAATGCAAGTTGTCTTTCTCCAAAAAATAATTATTTGCTCTCAATTTAGTTAAGTTTGGAAAGGGAATCATGGCTCATGTAAAATGTGGACATTGGCAAATAAGGAATATGTGCTTTGGGCTGCCAGCCACAAGGACAGTAGTTTGAAACCACTAGCCTCTCCCCAGGAGAGAGATGAGTCTCTCTGCTCCTGTAAGAGTTCAAACAAGCAAACAAACAAACA